GGAGAGCTACTGGCAAGCCGTTGATTTCCACGTTTCCAGAGAGGCCGGGGTGTGGAATCTTTTATTGCCTGTTTTCCCATACCAGTTACTAAACTTCTTCCTCAGTGATATACACAGTGCCGTCCAACCACTTTAGGGTGCCAGAAACAGATTCTTATACATTGTCAGCATAGCATTTTTTTGGTGTTTCCAATCGTTGGCCATCCTAGTATACCATCATTTTGATGACATTTATTTAACCGCCCGTTTCGGGGCGCTTTATTTCCAGACCTGCTCGTTCGTCAGTGTTACCCATCTGGTTGATAAGTCACCTGATGGTGTACACTTGTATGATTTTTGTGTTGGTTCATCTTCCAAACGTTTATTTCTCTCAACCAAATTAAACTTTCGTATCGTGTTTGCTCCGGACAAGCTTTCTCACAAACTAATTGTGCTTCGAGTACAAGGAGAACCCTGTGAGCAGCCAGGTTTATGCCCAGCTCACACATTACGGAATACGACTCACCAATGTGTGCGTATTCACGTACTCGTTTCACCAGAACCAACAAGTTAAAACGATCTATTAGTTAAGTGTGGCAGTGTACACCTAAAAATGCATCCAAGGATGCTCAGAATGGTGGATTGCCAGCGTTTTGAGGCATAAATGCACCGAAATATCGGGTGAATTCACCATGGGCTACTTCAGGATTATTTGTAACCCGCATGCGTTCATTTCTGGTTGATCATGTGGCCGTTGGTACGTTCGCCGACCTAAGATGAAGGCTCGCAACCGTTTCATCACCACTCGAGGGAACATCATGACATAAACAGCGCTGTCCAACCACTTTAGAGTGCCACTGACGCTTTCAACGCGTACTGATAGTGTGGTGACGAAAAATTCACAAGCTAATTGCCGAACTACTCACAAAACTTCAGTAGCTGAACGAGAGAATCAATTTAGATATCCATTGCTCGTCGTGTTGATCGACCGGGAAATTTCATCATATCTTCAAATACGCGTCAATGTTGGGTGCGTCTACTCGTAATTGCAGTAATCATCGCCCTGGGAAAAAATCAATAAGCACCACCCTCTTGCTTCCTGACCATGTTTGTCAAGTGCTGTCTTGTAAACCGTCTACTTAAAAGTGCCTAGCCCGTTGGTGGACGAACCGTGTGCAAGTTGAATGCTAATTTCGTCAAACAGCAACTAAGGTCAGGTCGTTATAGCGTGAAAGCGTGAAACACGTTTGCGCAAATACGCATAAATCGCCCCCAAAGAATGCTTTCATGACAAAATATAGCCCTAAAAGTATTGTTAAAACGCGGGGGGTTTACTTGTAATTCACAAGTAACCTTCCGTACTAGGAAAATACGTTGCTTCATATTAAAAAATTCAGATTTCGGACCACATTCGGTATTTATGAAGGTAATGACATGAAAAACTTCATCATTTTAGAGAATTTCCTCTCGGTTTCCCACTGGTTTTGAAAGCCAGGACGGGAGGCTTAAAATCTTTCAACTGTTGGTAGGCTTCCTCCCCGATGGCTTAGCTCATTTCTGGTTATCACCGCGAGCAACTGAGTAAAAGATCCCAACATCGGACCCTAATGCTGAGTAAGCAAAACAAAAATTCATAGACAAAGGCTGGACTTGTGAACATTCAAGCCATTACAGACGATGTACAGAAAGAAAGGTATCTGTATCCACTTTACAGGAGCAGTGGAGGACAAAAGACTGACTACCCTAGAACAGCACGCAGATGAATATAAACCTAATAATTCATTAAAGAGACTGATGTAGACCACATTCTGAACTACCTCAGCTACCACCGAAACCTTTACAAACGACGTAGCATTTGAACTTTGGTCAAACTAATTTAAACGCTCTGCAACACGGCAGGGTTTAAGATGAAAGGGGAAGTTGACGGTGCCACCAAGTGATTGGTCGACTGAGTTGTGGTCGCAACCACAACCCCAGTATTACTTAGTTCACCAGCTTATGATGTCCGGGGCACACGAATGAACATGATATTCTGAGGGATGAGACGAGGTTGATGCTATACTGAGAGGAAATTGGCTACTTGGCCAAGCAGTTCTAATCTCAAATCCGGCCAGAGAGAAACGATAGGGACGTGGATAGTCACAACTGGGGTGAACACAATATAAGGTCAAAGATTAGAAAGGAAACTGGAAAATTCCGTACAATCTTGCAATAAATTCGAAATGGTTTCCGCCTACATATGGATTGGAAATAGGGAATTTCAGTTTAGGACCACGAAACTTTATCCAGCACGACCAGTTCAGATTGGGGGCGTTTGTTTGAATCAGTAAGAGTGGATCTGGTGTGCTTTTGATTTACTAGTTGTTCCACTACACATATAGATTGATCCAGTGAAAGCACGAGCTTCTCTGTCGTCAACCCCAGACTTTTTCTCCCGAAAATCGCATCTCTCAATAGAAACACTGGCGAAAGCTGAGACTGTGATCATGGAGCAAACCATCCTAGTGAACGTAATGCAACACTATGCACAGAATGGCTTGTAACATGTAAAGGACTGCATATCACTGCGACGGGGAATGAACCCTGAAGTAAGCGCCATTATGAGTCAAACAGAATTGGGCAATCGCTTACCAAACCACAGATTTCAGTAGAATTATAAGATAACAAAAGGATTTGGATGAAGTATCACTTATCCACCCGTAATGCACTACTCATAAAGTTGCTGAAAATTCAAAGACAGCCCACAACAGGTTTCGCCCTTCTTGGGGCCCATCAGGTAGGTGCAGTCCTCGAGAACCCTTCAATCCTGTGTTCCAGTTGAAACCAAGTTGCATGAACTTAGCAAAATGCACTCATTTGCAAACTAATTTGATTTTGCAAGAGACGCCGACGGTCGTACTTGATTTTCCCAGGCTTCACGCTCTCGATAGACACAATACCTCGTTCTAAAAGGGAATTTATATTATAGACGTAATACACTACTCATAAGGTTGCTGAAAACTGACAGCCCACGATCGGTTTCGCCCTTCTTGGGGCTCATCAGGCAGCTGGGTTTCAGGTGACTCTCTCGTAAAACCAAATTAGTTTGCAATGAGTGTATCTCGCTACCACATGTCAACTTTCTGTCCCGTCACCCAAACATACTATCGAAGTTCTTAAAAGTTCAGAAAAGCAAGTAGTTTATCACTCATCGTTTTCTAAAGACAGCAAATGATGCAGCACTGGGAATCCGTCACATTAGATAATTGTATTTGAAAAACAGAATGATTCCCTTAGTTCATCTGCACAGCCTCTGATTTCGTTCCCACTCTTCCAGTGTACCAGCTATTTCACCTGTATATCTGACCAACTAAAACCCATCTTGTATATTTCGACTGCTGTTCTCCATGCCTTGCGTTTCTCAATATCCGCAATGCCTTCTGATAAGTCCTTTCCTTCATACGAACAACGCCTCCAGCCACATGACGTTCTCAGTTGGGGCGGATCAAAGCCGGCCCTGTTGACCACATCCTTCGGTTGGAAGGAGCTTTTTGAGGTTTCTGAAGCGCATCTGGCTTGAATCTCCAATCAATAGTGATCTTTGGGGTTTGTTACCCATCAGCGCATGAGACTACAAGTTCGAACTAGGATTTGTTCGGTGGAGGAACCCAGTCCCTAGGTTACTTCTTTACAATGGGACGATCTTTCTGAAGCGTTGAGCAGTCGAGCAGTAAACCTATTGCCTTTGCGTTATCCACAAAAAAAACAAGATCACTACTCTGTTTTAACCATGAGATTATGGATCAATGCGAGGGAAACTACAGAATCTAGCTTTGAGCTCTGCATGACTGCACTTGTAACAGGGGGTGATTCCTATATTTTCTTCCTAGCTGTCATGTCTTTGGACCTCGCAAAACTGATCACTCAAACAAACAAGTTCGTAACGCCAGAAGCCCTCAGTCTGTCTGGTGGAGAACGCTCCTTGACCAAATCAAGTGCTCTCTTGAAATCCGCCTATCCCATCTCAACCCATTCTTCTTCGTTATGTGGTCTAGCACAAGCAGAAAGTTGAACAGGAAAGACCTTCCTCTACGACATCGTGTTGCACCGGATTGAGCAAACTGTTAACCAGAGGTTATGGCTTTGTCTTTCGAGAACTACTACTACCTAGTGCAGCTTATTGCCTGAGAACATCACAAACAAGAGAATCACTCGGGTTCCAGGTGCGTCTCTCGAAAAACCAAATTAGTTTGCAAATGAGTGTATATTCGCTATTTTCGTGCAGTTTGGTTCCAATTAGAACATAAGGTTGACGGAAACCCGGGGACTGTGCCTACCTGATGAGCCCCAAGAAGGGTGAAACCGGTCGTGGGCTGTTGACGAATTTTTAGCAAACTTATGAGTAGTGTATTACAAACTACTATTCCTGTTCCGTTATAAGGTATGTTCGTCAGAATTACCTGGTGGTTTTTTGTCCTCCAAAGTGGCCACTATTTTAAAATAATGGTCATACCCTTACAGCTCTTGGGCGAAGTTCTGTCTTCTAGGAGTTGTCCGAACAACCAAGTTGTATGCCCCGAGGTAACAACTGCTGATAAATTGAACAATCGGGACTTGAGTTTTGACGATTAACAGAGTGAGAGAGCGAGTTCTTCGCGATTCTTCTGGCGGTTATGTCGAGTTCCTACATATCCATTCTAGGTCCACTGCATCACACACCCTATCCACTAAGAGCCAATATTCTGGGAAACACCTGACGCTTCAGGAATTTGTCTGTGTGTGTGAGTGCGTTGGTGCCCGAATTTGATTTGTTTCCAATGCCTGAAGATTCATTTGAGTTGGACTGGAAATGTACTAGGTGATGCTTTTAAGGTGAGTCTTCTGTTTCCTCCTGTTTGCCTTTCCGTTTCTAGTGTTGTATTAAGTAGTCCCTTTGTTGCTCTAATTTACTAATTTTATGTTTCATTATCTTCTGAATATGAACCGCCTTTTTACCACTTTCTCACTTATGACAGCAATACACCTTGTGAGACTTTGACGGGATGACTGGAGAGGCTTGGGAGAGCTCGACATCTTCACGTGAAGAAGTTGTTGCCAAAAACAGTAAGTTTTGAGATCAGTCTTTTTTCTGTAACGTGTGCAACGCTTCGACCAGCTGCGTTTGCCATGTTGGAGTCCAGTAGCGCCTTTATTGTCGCCGTCCACAGTGGTTACCTTTAAATCCTCGTCCTCTTTCTCTATAAATGGCTTGTTCAGTGCTCTCGACGTCCTACTTTGGTTTTGTTTTGAGAAACCGATCATTTCTGAAAGGACACCACCTCTCCTGTGAATTCATCCAGGCGTTCAAGTAAACTGTCTCTTGTTATATGCTCTTCATGTATTGGCACAGAACGAAACTTTACCAAATACGCCTGGAACGGGAATGAACGTTTTGGCCTGAAAACTGCCCTCAACTTGTTCTACAAGTGTGGGGACGAAATTCCAGTTAGTCATTACTTACTTTCATAGATCATGGGAACTCTGCGATCGTGGAGTGACCACTTTTGAACGTGCTTTCTAGGGATTGTAAAAAACACCAGTTGACCGGTGCTACTAGATAAGGTTGGTGCTGAGAACATCTCCAAGAGACTCGATTACGACAGGGTTCAGGCACTGCTCCATATTTTTGCCAGAGCCAAGTGGACTCATTCGTGTATTTCCACGCGGAAATGACGCGAGCAGACGGCTTCCAGATTAGTCGAAATTGACCTCTTCCAAACCAAACACTCCCAATCAAAAGACTCAATTTCGGCAGAGACTGTCTTGCTTTTTTGACGCTGATGAAAAAACCTGAGGAAGTCTTCGAAGTCATTGCATATTGACTACTACAGTGAACAGCGCAACAAGGTATTCGAGTCGGGGGAGGCCATTAGAGGCCGGATCGAATACCCAAACCTAACGTCATGTAACTGTCACTGTTGAGTTGATGAATTCGATGGCATGTATAACCAGTTTCATTCACATCCGCTCTCTCTCTTGCCACAAGTCGACTGGTGTCCGGTTTTACCGCAGTCTCTCGAGAGCACACGTTTTGTCTGTTCAGTTTCTGCCCGATTGCTATTCACACGGTTGTCTAGAACGAATGTGCAAATGCAACACTCAGGAAAAATGAAGTGGAACAAACCGAAGTTTGAGCAACTTGACGAGTGCGATCATCGAAACCAAATAAAGTAACAGTACTGATCGCCATGTAGTAAGATTATCACAGACCAAATTAGCACACAAAAGCCCGTAGTTATGTAACGTGGTTGGGAAATATTTCGCCACAATAAACAGCTATCAGATAGACAGTCAGGTTCTATGAATGTACGTAGTCACACCACTCTCGTTTGAACGGCCTTCTCTTGTTCTGGCGTAATTATTCCGGTGAGTCCACATCAAAGGGAAGCACTCGACTCGAGTTTCGCTCTTATTAGAGCTCATCAGCAGTGCGTATCCAATGGCCGCGCCGGGGTTCGAACTCCGGACAACTGACATGCGAGGCGAGTGTGTAACCACTACTCCACCAACGCACGTTAAATGCATCTGAATTATCATGTCTGAACGGGCGAACGTGTTCACACTTGAGCGATGTGATTGGTGTGCCCGACTAATCGAACGACAACCCAATAACTGTCCTGGTTGTGACGATCGATTGACCCGCCAGTCAGGACTTCCCAGTCAGGTAGCCTTGCGCACGTTTGAAATCCACTGGGCAACTATTTGGTCGCAATTTTGGTGTTTTACGGAATGTCCTACACCACAAGGAACATACTGCACTAATCAAAACGCGTAAAAACCTTTCAGATAATTATTCAGTAGTTGAACGGCTGTGGACAGATGTTGACATTTGTTAACTTTCGACAGGTCCTGTAGACTATTTTCAGTGAGATGTTGTTACTGGGCTAAGGATCCCGTGCGAGTCGCTCCAGTGAAGGCTAAATGATGTATCGTCGCTGAACGTCTATTGGTTACGCCTGCACTGAGCCTGCCAGACTACGCGATAGGGAGAAGACTGAGAACTCGGGACACGGTGTATTGTCAGGACAAGACATACAGAGCGTCTGCGTATAATATAGGATGACTAAATGGCCAAATATGGTCGTTCACTTATTCGTTCTGTATAGCCAATGGCGGTGTTCCGGTCATGAACAATTTCAGCCACACTCCACTGGTCTTATTTTGCTAAGCCGTTTTTGGTGAGTTCCGCCAACGCACCTGCTATCCGAAACGTGTCGCACCGATGTTGAACTTGGAGACGCGTCACTTTCTACTCATGTGCTCATTTTCATGTCTGGGCGCGTCCTGACATTAACTGAGAATAAATAATGTACTCTCCTCAACCTAAATAAGCCTCCACCGGGTTCTAACCCTCAACAAGCGGATCTGGTTAATGACTTTACTCTTGAGGTCACCAAGGAAAAAGATTTGTGACTCAAACTTTACAAGTCTTCTAGGACAGAGCGTAGGCGGAAGGCCCACTGGATATTCAAAGCACAACGATCTTTCGAAAGCGGGTGAATTTGTAGAAATAGGAGAGCGTTTGTGCTCGTTCACTCAGTGTATGAAGGATAAGCCACCTACTGAATTCGCAAATCAGTTCGGTGAACAACGCCGTAATTAGTCTCTCGTGAAAACCAAATTGATTTGCAAATGAGTGTATTTCTCGAAAACAGTCCAATTTGGGTTCAAGGTTGACGGAGACTCGGGAACTGCACCTACCTGATGAGCCTCGAGCGGAAGGGCGAAACCGGTCGTGTATTGCCGAAAAGTTTTTAGTAACCTCGCGAGTAGTTTCCTTTATGAAAATATACTGCAATATCTCGAATATCGTGCCAACTGAAACATGAGGCGGCCTGTGTGCAGCACAATCAGTTGTAGACTATCATGAATGGGAAATACAGTTGAGTCTTTCGTGAAGACCAAAATGATTTGCAAATGAGTGTATATCTCATGTTTATATTATTCTTCCTTGAACAGTCATCCGTCATGATGTCCATACCTTGGGAGAAAGCATTGGATTCAAGTTTCGGTCCTATTAGTGATCAACAGCAGTGACCAATCCTTGCACGAAACGAGGTGAGGCCAGGCGAGGCAAGCGTGTTACCAACACTACACAAGGACACACTGGATGCACCTCTTAACGAGGAAATGGTGTTCATGATTGAACAATCTGCTCGGTTTGCTCGGTGACTCGATCGATGGTCCTGTAACTGTCCTCTTTGTGTCGATCGATTGACCATTCTTTTAGAACTTCCCTATGGGGCAGCGCCACGGACGCCTAAAACCTCATGGGTAACTTTTGATTAGATGTGGACGGTTTCAGGCTTTGTAGAATTCACATCACTCTTGTCCTCTTTAGCTGAAATTATTCTGGTTAGTAATGGTGTGCACAAAGAAAAATGCCGCATCGACGAGTCACCGAAGCAGATGGTTTTGCCAAAGGCTTCTTCGAATTGTGGACGAATTTCACTACCTCACTGTCAATGGTGACTGCAGATGGTCAGTCCTGTGGAGCCGTTCACTGCTTTTGACAAGTCATGAGCAAGACACGTAGGTTGGACTTGTCAGGACCGGGTACTAGTAATGAATCCAATCGAGTATGTTTGGAAATGTCCATCAGAGATAACCAAAACCGTTGGTTATAGCCTTTACATTTCACATGCATTGCAACATGATTGAATCGTCAGATCAGTCCGTATAACTAGCTCCTGCTGTATATCCGGTAACTTGATTCCAACAAGTAAAGTGATCTTCAAGAGGAACACCAAAATCGCACTTTGAATCTTGGGTTGGTAACCCCGGAACAAACGAATTTATGTGGCTGGTGTAGGAAAAAACTGTACTTGGACATTTTGGCCGCAACAAAATTTGTCGATTTGAAATAATTCAAAAGAATTTTCATAAAGGCAACTACTCACAGGGTTGCTGAAAACCCTTCGACAGCCCACGACCGGTTTCGCCCTTCCAATTCGGGCTCATCAGGTAGGTGCAGTCCCCGAGTTTCCGTCAACCTTATATTCCACTTGAACGCAACTTGGATTGATTGCAAAGAATACACTCACTGGATGTCGGAGCGTTTTCAGTAGATTTGTGAGTAGTTTCCTTTTTGAAAAATATTCTGTGATATGCGGAATATCGGACCAGCTGAAACGTGAGGCGGCCTGTGTGCAGCACATTCAGTTGAAGAACGTCATAAACCAGAGATTCACCTGATTCTCTCATGAAAACCAAATTGATTCGCAAATGATTGTTCTTGTCACAATTCAAAAAAATGCCCTTCCACTTTTGTGTCAGCTTACTGGCAATATATTTCACACTTTTCCAGGTATAGTCCCCAACAAAATAGAACAACGATGCTGTTTTCTAATCAGCTTTTAGCCAGGTGAGATCGCTAACCACGTTCGAATCATTTGAGCTCACAAGTCGCCTAAAAATATACCGAGTTTTCATTCGATTGCCACATTCATCGCAAAGCTATTCTGTTACTCGACGATGCTTGTAGTATTGCGCTGACAGCAGAAGTGAAAACTGGAAAAAGGGTTTATCGTAACATATGAGTTGTCGCAACACAAAAGATCATGGACGAACACTCCTACAGGAAACATTAGCGATATCACTCAGACTCGCCATCACCAACCGTGGAATTTGTGATAATCCTACCCTACATTCTGAGCCATCAACTTAAGGGTATGTGAGCCACGCTTTCAGCAACGACCATCTTTGTCTTGCAGAGTAGGTTCTCAAAATTTCCAAAAACACTATCCAAGATCCACAGCCTTGTGCGTGCTTCGCCTAAGGAGTACTTGCCAGATAGAACAGTCGGTTCGCAGTAGACCTATTCAACATGCCTAAAAAGAATACGGGTCCACATCATTCACGCGGCGGTTACCTTCAGGGCAATAACACTACCATGTTGAAGTGATAGGCAATACCGCATCTTCAAAACATCACCGACAGCCTGAGAAGTACCCGTTGTCACAGCGACATTGATTGGACGTGGACTTGACAACAGAATCTAATAACTAAAGCCGATATTCCCATGACAACCGTTACTACGTTCACTTCTAATCAAAACCTTTCTGTCTGGACAACGTTGCTCAGACTTTTCAGTGTTTCTCAGTTGACATTTTCTGAGGATGAGGTTTTGGCCTACCAATAGTATTTTGATCCCCGAAACCGACAGCTATTCGGACTTAGTCATCAACAAATTTTCAAACTCAGCGCCGACTACAGGTACTAAGTAGGCGTGTCCTTGGTTCCTTGGGCACCAAATTCCAGCCACGATAACAAAACCTCTGTTGTCAAAAATCCCAAAGATTTATGAATGCCTGGTACAAACATCCTGTGAGAATCTTTGTAAAGCTAGTGGCTTCCACGACAGATACGGATGTTTGATGTTCGACTGTGCGGTCATATCCAGCCAATCCCGACCCACTGGATGTCGGAAATAAAACATCCCACTCAGCAAGGAAGCCTCTGAAGCCCGAACGTTTCCGTAAGAGAAACTCACAATCCCTCCGTCATAATGGCAGTGCTGTCAGATGCAGACAAAGTGGGGACAGCGGTGCATGCCCTAGGTATCATTAAGACGGGACCATTAACCATTTTCCTGGACGAATGTGGTTCATCGAATCCAGTCACCGAGCCTTCATTGGAGTCAGTAGATGCATAACTCTGCATTCACCATTTTAGACACCTGCTGAAGCAGAAACTTCCGGTAATAGTTGCCGGACATAGGCCATCCATTTATGCCTTCCGCTCAGCATCTGGTTAGTAGTCCCTCGGAGAGAGATTTGTTGATCAATTCATTGCTCAAAGCAGGAAGTTTTGGGTTTGTCAGACGCCCATCTCGGGATGACGTAAGATCTGGATCGATTTGAGGCATGTATCTACTGGTCAGGCTACTGGTCTGGAGCTTTTAGAACCTAATTTTGGTAGTTCGTTTAGACTGCAAGGCGTCCTTTCGGAAGATAAGAACGACGATTTTCTTCTTATTGCTCGTGGTTTCAACAGTCCTTCGCCACTAACTGAAGCACTGATTTGATAATCACACCCAGGTCACTTTGATCACCAACCGCTTATGCTTGAATATTTCCTCCAGCACTTCGTATCTGTCCTGACTGTGGAGTCACATCAAAAACCCACCCTCAACCTATGCACACTGCTTCACCAAGCTCCCCACGATAACGTGTTGCCTAATGGCTGTACGATCGATAAATTGTGCCAACATCTTCTGTCGTTTCCAATTCTAAGGGCGGTTTTAAATCATTTCAATCTAATTTCTCTCACTGCCACCAACTTCCCATTTGATCTCCGCAACTCCTCTTATCTCTATCATTGTGTATGCTTTATATGCCTATCTTATGGTATAGATATTGTCCCGATGTGCTTACACACTTCGGGTTTTTGCCTAACAGATGTTGGAATAAAGGTATAACTCCTCAGCTTTCCCGCGAGCCCTTACTGTTTTGTTGATTACCGCGTGTTGGGAAAACAAGTAGAGAAGATACATAAACTGGGGGAATTTAGCAAGTTGGCTTATCTTTT